CGATGTAATATTGTAAAATTGATGGAGGAATATTCTGGGGTTTATTTTTGAACGAATTTTCCCTATTTTATTTCCATTTTGGTGTCATTGTTCATGAGGGGATAATATTAGAATTTTAGAATTTGTTAAAGGGAAAATTGGAAAGGAATTGTCATGAAATTTTATCATTTGTCAAAGGAAAAAATTAGAAAGCGATTTCCTTGAATTTCAAAACCACATGGAAGCTTGGAGATGATGACACATGGCAATTGTAATTTCTTCCAACTTGGAGGGTAAAATAAAATGGAGACTATTACAAATATTCCTACCCCTCATTGCATGAAGAATTTTGGCCAACCTGGGGACGGGAGGGAAGGGTGAAGTTCTTGCTCTAGGAAAAAAGAAAGAAAGAAGAAGAGGAAATAAATCATGCAAGATCAAGCTTCAACACAAGATAGGGATGTGAATTTTGATGTTGTTTATGTTATCCTTTGTGTTGTTGAGCTTGGATATGGTTTTTTTGACCTTTGAAAGCATTAAACCCTAAGATGAGATGCTATCCAAATGTGATTAAGTTATAAAAAGGATTATTTGAAGTTAGATTAATGATTAAGAAAAATAAAAAAGTGGTAATCAAGTGGTTTTGTGATGAAATTAGAAAGAATCCAACTTTCCCTTAATCTTCGTATAATTTTGGCCAAACCTAGGGTCTTATGTTAGGGTTAGATTTTGATGATTTTGATGTGTTTAGAATAAAAATTTGTGTAGGGTACAAATGAGAAAGTAAGTTTGGAAGTATTATAATTGAAACTAAAATTTTTGTCTTAAAATCCTATATGTTTCTGCCAAAGCTTGTTTATGGGAAACGAAATCGATTTTGCTAATTTTGATTTTGGAAATGAATTTTACATACAAAATTATATGAAAATAGCATATGAAATTAATTTTAGAAGGATTGGATTGGAAGTCCAAAAGTTAGAGATTATTGTATGTTAAAGAGAGAGAAGTACGAATGTTGCTTATTACCATGGCTATAATAAGTGAATGGCATGATGTGTTAATGTAATTTGGGCTATGTGACATCAAGAAAGATGAAAGGAAAAGGTTAATCAAACAACTTCAAAGGTTGGTTGCAAAGGGAACAAGAGAAAGAATGTAACAAGTTAAAGGCAGCAAACTTTACCCTATTCTTATGTGCTTGGTATTTGCTTGTATGTATGTCATATTTATTATATTTATGTGATTTTATGAACTCATGCATTATGTGTGTGATATTACTAGAAGCATGCCATAGGCCTATGTGGTTTATGATTAATGTATGATAGTTTTCAAACATGTCATTATGTTATGATAATATTAAGTTTGTAAGCACGTTATGAATGCTAAGTTATGCCGTGCATGTTTGGATGGTACTTGTTTGCTGCTGAAATTCTCCTAAATCTCATCCTCTCTTAACCATCCACAACAGTATTATGCTTATGGAAGATGAATGCAAGATGAGGATCAAAAGAAATAAGAGAAGAATTGGAGGGATGTGTTTATGTATCATAATGCAATATTTCTCCTTTATGTTGATGTATTCATAGACATGCCTATGATGTTATGTAATCATGAATGATGAGAATGTCATATAAGATTGAGCACGATGGTGCGTGAGAATGGTTTGTGAAATATTGAAATGGTTGCATGCATGGTAATGTTTGTTTATAGTATGCTAATTTCAATAAGGGGATAAAAATTTCAACAATAAGCAATGAAGTGAGACAAAGCAAAAGTAAAGCAGATGAACGAATCTTCCCATAATATTTTGTGAGTAACTAATACACATCTTAAGCTTTAAAATGAGTAGTAGATCACTTAAAGTGGATGTGTGCCAGATGTTATGATTGCTCAAAATTAGAGCAAAAAAGATGTAAGGTATTGCTTTGACCATATGAACAGTATATTTTTATGTTAAATGAGCAAGTAAATAACCCAATGAGTATTTTTTTTCTCATAGAGAATTAAAATAGCTTTAAGTAGAGACTCGAATCACCTCAATACGATTTTTGTATAATTAGTTATAAATTTTTAAAATTGGACAAAAAATTTAAAATTATTAAATGAATATTAACTCGAGAATAAAAATGTAAGGTTTCAATCAATGGGTTCAATTTATGATTCGCCTGAGCCGTAATGCTTTCGAATACATACTAAATGGGGTGAAATGATAGATGTTTCATGAGACCCCGTTGGGATGGGATGAAATATGAGATGGAAAGCTTATTGGGATGGGATAGGGATGATGTTGTCCCTTCTTATAAACACTCCTAAGTAGATTATCTTTTTTGGGATAGCAGTGGATTATCGTATATATTTTACTCTCTATAATATTAAAATATATCCACTACTATGATACCTCTCAAAATCCCATCCACGAAATACAAGAGAATTATTCAGGTCGAGAAAACAAAATTCCATCCATATTTTATTCATAAAATTAGATTATTTTCAATTATTTTATTAGAGAAGATGCTAATCTCTCCATAACTAAGATGAATATAATATGAATATGTTAACGTGGAAGCCTGGAAGGGAAATGATAGGTGGCCAAAAAAAGGAAAAAGAAATGGAGGAATATAATATGATAAGATTCTAATATGGTTAAAGTTTAAATAATTATGCGTTTTACTTAGATTTCAAATACCTATTGAATATTAAATATTAAGGACAAAATCCACCTTTTTATTGTAGGCATTTCTTGGCCAGCATTTTATTATAGGCATTTAATTTTTTTGTTTGTGCCGAAAATTTGTGGGCATTTAAATTAAAAGATAAATATTGAATCATACTACCTCCGGTACTTAATATAAGACCTCGTTTGACTTTTATTTTAGTCCTAAATATAAGACCCTAATCCACTTTGTCTCTCATATTTATACATTTTTTTTCCAAAGTAGCCCTTCTAACAATGATAGTTCTAGTTAATACACTAGATTAGTAAAGATATTTTAGTAAAGACAACACCTATTTAGGACAAATAACTAACTCAACTTACTTTTTTAATCTCTTCAAATTAGTTAACTGGCTCTTATAATTAGAACCGGAGGTAGTATACATTTTTAATCTGTGTGCGCGCCTGTTAAATGAGTCTAGCTATTTTAACTTTCAACTCATCTGACTAAAATGGTTAAATGAGTGGAACTCACAACCTTTGCTACCCAGCCTGTTCAACTTATTTAACCTCTTGTGATGAATCTTACACAATACTACCACTTATAGTTTTTAATACAAGAACTAGTTTGACTTTTAATTTGGTCTTATATATAAGATTCTAATTCATTTTGTCTATCATATTTATCGATTTTTTTAAAGATAATCTTTGTAGTAGTTATACATTAAAAATTTCATCAAATAGTAGTTCTAGTTAATACGCATGAATAGCAAGGATATTTTAGAGAAGACAACATCTGTTTATTACAAATAACTAATTTAACAAACTTTCTTAATCTATTCAAATTAATCAACTAACTCTTATATTAAGGGTTGAAGGTAATATTTTACTATCTTAAACAGTTTTATTCAAATTGAACTGAATTGATCCGTTAAATTAAAAGAACCCAATTAATCGACTAGCAATATTCGCAGAAAGAATCATACTGCAAATTACTAGAACAATTAAAAAAAATATGTGGATTACCCGTTCAAGTAATCATAATTATTTCCCCCCATTTTTAAAATTGTTGATTTCTTGGTGCAACATATTTTATTGTTATTGAAAGTATTATTCTCAAACATTTATTTTTTACACCATTACCTCTCAAATATGGGAGATATTATTGTAATTTTATATCCTGATTACCATTTAATATGCAATTTTTCAAAATTTTATCATCTTGATGATGAGCATACTACATCCTGTTTTTAATATAAGGGTTAGTTGAATAATTTGAGTAGATTAAGAAAATTAGTTAAATTAGTTATTTGTAATAAATAAATGTTGTCTTTTTCAAAATATCCTTACTAATCAAGTGTATTGACTAAAACTATTATTATTACAAAAACTAGCTTTAAAAAAATAAATAAATATGACACACAAAATAAATTAGAATATTATATTTATAAATAAAATAAAAGTTAAACGAGTTCAAGGAAAATGGTAGTATATATATATATATGATTATATGTATTGCGGAATTATATTAGTGTAATATTTAAAAGGGAAAATTGCAAATAAAGACCCCCCAATATATAAAATAGCAATCAGGGACCCCCAATTTGAGAAATTGCTGCAGAGGACCCGGTCCCAATTTGCAATTATGAAATGTAAGGAAAATGGCTGAAATGCCCCTCACTCATCATGACTGTTAATGAAGGCAGAGACCAGGATTTGGGTGGCGGGAGAGCTGGTGGAGTAGGATGAGCCGAACGAATATGTGCGATATTGGGATCTTCGAACATTGGCAATAATGCGACTAACTTACTGAGTAAACCCTTCTTGTATTGTTCCCTGTAAGAGTTACACATCGTCACATTCTCCATCTTCATCTCTGCTGTGTGGGTGAGTAGGCTGGAGGAAGGGAGGGAATGGGAGGTGTAGTTGAAGATGAAAGATATGACAATGTAGGAGGTTGTGGTTAGTTGGAGGTGGGATATTTTTGTTTTCGTAGTCTGAACGGTCATCTGTCATTTGTAGTGCACGGTGCTGGTTGCGATGGGGAAGGGGTCAGAGTGTAGTGGTTTGGCAGAGTGTAGGTTGGATAATGGCCGTTAGTTTGACCGTGAACGTTGAGGTGTTGCCGCGGAATGAGGGAATGACGATACCATGATTTTCGGTGTTGAAGTCGTCAAGCCCTAAAGTGAAGTTGTGAAGCCCTAAAGTGAAGTTGTGAAGGCCTAAAGTGATGTTGGGAAGACAGGAGGTCACGGGTTTTTAATTTGGTATGTAAATGGTTGAGTCGATGGAATAAATGAGTAAATATTTATTAGTGAAGCTAACGTACTGACTAAACGTAAATTTTTGCTGCAGATTAGTATGAAAAATGGATTTCAATAACCGAAGAAGCTGTGGGAAGGAGTTGTTCTGTTACGTGCACATTGGTGGACATTTTGAAGCAAATGGTGAAGGGATAGTTAAATATATTGGAGGGAGTGTAAGGGTAACCAGTATAAAAGAATGGATAACAGTAGACGAGTTGTGTGGAATAATTTCACAGTGGATAGGCAATGATGGTGGTGGATATGAGATTAAGTATAAAGTTAAATTTGATGAGAGTACATTGATTGATCTTTGTGATGATGGTGATATCAGCAACTTGTTTAGATATAATGACAGCAGTGGTCATGTGTATGTAGGAGGGAAAGGGAATGATAGGGAACGTAGAGCAAGGAATGATCCAGACGTGTAAGTGGTTATGTTTTCCAATTGAATCTTGTTATTTACTAATATATTGTTGGTAATTCGTATAGAAATATTGTAATGAAGCTAATGGTGCTGCAGTCCTAAATTGTAATTAGTAAATGCAAGCATGTTATTGAACATAGTGGACATGTCATTTCCATTTGTAAACTTGTGTTTTAGAAATGCAGACTTGTTATTAGACATAAGCAGAGATTTCCATATGTAGACTTGTAATTCAACGTATTGAAGTTATAATTATCATATACGGACTTGTTATTTAGATCTGTAGATGTTATTTTACTAACCAGTAGTTTCTATATGGAAACTTGTTATATGAGTAACTCAAGTTGTAATTACCTCTTACGGACTTGTTAATTGAGCAAGGAATTGTTTGTAGATGTAGACTTGTTATTTTAGTTAGTAAAGTTGTAATAACCATATGCGGACTTGTTATTTAGATATGTAGACATGTTATTTTATTCAAACCTGTCGTTTGAATATAGCTGTCCTAACTTGGTATTATGGTGGCAGGAGTGAGAATTTATTTGGACTTTCACAAGATATGAATACATTTGAAACGACCATTGGTGATGAACATGAGCCAGTGAATGTTGAGAATGGAGTTGAATGCCTAACTTTTGAAGGAGGCGGATCAAGTCAGAGAAGCAAGTGTAGTGGTTCAGAGAGTCAGGGAAGACTGACGGGCGAGATGAATTGTACGAAATGGGCAGGAGTGTTTGTAGGAGTGGGCCAATATGTTCCACATGCTGTTGCTTTTAGGGAAGCTGTGTACAGGTTCAGTATTGCAGAGAAGTTTGCAGCAAGATATATCAGGAATAGTAAGGAGAAGATGAATGTGAGGTGTAAAGTAGAAGGGTGTCCTTGGAAGATATGTGCAAATGCTGTTGGAAAGAACAGTCATCTATTACGTGTGACTACATTTTGCAATAAGCACATTCATTCAGCCCAAGACAATTTGATTGTGACTTATGGTGGGAGTGCTGCGTTGACATCATCAGTAATAGTTGAAGAGATAAGGGACCATGCTGAAAAACGGCCCACTGAGATAAGGAAGATGTTGGAGAGGGAGTATGGTGTGAGGCTTACATATTGTCAGGCATATAGAGCAAAGGAAAAGGCAATGGAAGAAATACATGGGAAACCGGAACAGTCCTATATGTTAATACCATGGTTATGTGAAAGGTTGAAGGAAACTGATGACAAAACGGTTGCTGAATGGGCCTCCATTGGTAATAGATTTGAGCGTGTGTTCATTGCATACGGTGCATGTGTTGAGGGTTTTTTGAACGGTGCAAGGCCTATATTATATGTTGATGGTACTCATTTAAGTGGTCCATATAAGGGGACATTACTGTCAGCTTCGGCATATGATGCGGATAATGAGATGTTGCCGTTTGCAATAGCAGTGGTGAAGGGAGAGAATCTTGATGACTGGACGTGGTTTTTTCACAAGATTAAACAAATTGTTGGTTCAATGCAACTGACTATTGTGTCAGATAGACATAATTCTATAATTGGTGCTGTGCAAGCAATATTTGGGGGTGAAAGGCATGCATACTGTTATAGGCATGTGAAGGAGAACTTTAGCTCTGAATATATGAAATAAACAGAGGTCGGAGAAGGACAAGTGAAAATTCAAAGGAAGATGCATTAAAGGTACTGGATAAAGTGGCTTATGCAAGACTTGCGGATGAGTTTGATCATGCGCTGGATGATCTCAGAACCATGTCTCATGAGTTATATGAGTGGGTTATCAATCAAGGTGATGTGGATAGGTGGGCATTGAGCAAGTTCCCATATAGAAGGTGGGACAACATAACAACTAATTTAGCTGAATCTTTTAATGCTTGGATGGTAAGGGAGAGGAAGCATAACGTGGCCCAAATGATCCATGAGCACCGGGAGAAAGTAGCAAGAAAGATGCATGCATCATATGCAGCAATGACTAAGTGGAGTAATTGCGTTGGGCCAAAAATAGAGGCAAAAGTATTGGAGCATGTGTATTTCGGTAGGTACATGCACTGTGAGAATTATGGAGGGGGAAGAATATGCGTGCACACATCACGTGGAGACCAAAGAGTGGACCTTGGCCTACACAAATGTAGCTGTGGAACTTGGCAAATGTTAGGGATTCCATGCTCACATGCTTGTGCAGCCATTAAGACCATAGGGGGAAACGTTTATGATTATGTTGAAGAGTGTTACAAACGTTCATCCCAAGAAAAAATCTATGCCCGGAGCATGGTTCCAGTGGTGACAATTGATATGCCTCACCTGAATGACTATACGTTTGAGAATCTTACTGCTCAACCCTTGCTTTTACCCCCAGTCACTGCTAGGCCTTCTGGAAGACCAAGAAGAAATAGAAAGGAATCACAATTCCACAACAAAAAAATATATCATTGCACTAGATGTCTTCATCCTGGACATACAAAGAGGACATGCAAAAATCCTAACCCAAGTTGACTTCCACTTACAAATGGGACAACTAATTTTTTTGGCACATATAGGGTTCATCCTTCTTAATTTTTTTGGGAGCAGGATGTTAGTAGATGTGCACATATATTTTTTGTTACTTCTATGTTTGGGACAAAGGGACATTAAGTGGAAGATGTAAGTTAATGTGCACTTGTCATTGAATGTTGTAAAGAACTTGTTGCTGTCAAAGAAATCAGAACTTGTCACTTCTTGTTATTTTGCATAGTTAAGTTGTCATTTGCTTTTGTGCACTTGTAATTTCATGTTCATCAGAAGTGGTTGCTGTCAGAAATGTGTAATTCCGTGTTTATCAGAAGTGGTTGCTGTCAGAAAACGAAATGTGTCAAAACCTTATAGGAACTTGTCATTTGGCATAGTAAAGTTGTCATTTGGCAATATGAAGTTGTCATTCCGTGTTTATCAGAAGTGGTTGCTGTCAGAAAACGAAATGTGTCAAAACCTTATAGGAACTTGTCATTTGGCATAGTAAAGTTGTCATTTGGCAATATGAAGTTGTCATTCCGTGTTTATCAGAAGTGGTTGCTGTCAGAAAACGAAATGTGTCAAAACCATATAGGAACTTGTCATGTGCCATAGTAAAGTTGTCATTTGGCAATATGAAGTTGTCATTCCGTGTTTATCAGAAGTGGTTGCTGTCAGAAAACGAAATGTGTCAAAACCTTATAGGAACTTGTCATTTGGCATAGTAAAGTTGTCATTTGGCAATATGAAGTTGTCATTCCGTGTTTATCAGAAGTGGTTGCTGTCAGAAAACGAAATGTGTCAAAACCTTATAGGAACTTGTCATTTGGCATAGTAAAGTTGTCATTTGGCAATATGAAGTTGTCATTCCGTGTTTATCAGAAGTGGTTGCTGTCAGAAAACGAAATGTGTCAAAACCTTATAGGAACTTGTCATTTGGCATAGTAAAGTTGTCATTTGGCAATATGAAGTTGTCATTCCGTGTTTATCAGAAGTGGTTGCTGTCAGAAAACGAAATGTGTCAAAACCATATAGGAACTTGTCATGTGCCATAGTAAAGTTGTCATTTGGCAATATGAAGTTGTCATTCCGTGTTTATCAGAAGTGGTTGCTGTCAGAAATGTGCAATGTAATCATTGTCTTCAAAAGTATGAAAATGTATTAAAACCTTCTGGGAAATTGTCATTTTCCATAATAAACTTGTCATTTCCCTTTCGAAGTTGTAACCTTGCGTTTACCAGTAGTGAAAATCCAGTCGTTTCATGAAAACATTATTCGAACTTGTAACTTTCGCTAGTGAACTTGTCACTTTCCTTAGTGAACTTGTCATTCCGTGATTATCATAAGTGGGAATCCACTCATCTCAACGGAAAATCTCGGTTTCACGAAAACCTTATGGGAACTTGTAAGTTTCACTAGTCAACTTGTCAATTTCGTTAGTGAACCTGTCATTCTGTGATTGTCATAAGTGGAATTCCACTAATTGGAATAGAAATTTTCCCTTACATGAAAACATCTTGGGAACCAGTGATTTGGCATTGTCAACTTGTCATTTTCCTTTGTCAACCTCTCATTCCGTGAATCAATGTGCAAATTTAGCCACCTTTAATACAGAATCACAAATTTGTATGAAAACCTTTTCACAAGTTGTCATTGGCCATAATGAACTTGTCGTTACCTGTACTAAACTGGTCATTGGCCATTTGGCCTGACTAAAGGGAAATTTGTCATTCCAAATATAAGTGCTGTTATACCATCAATCCAAGCATATCATAACCATTACAATAATTGGCATACAATTTCAACAAATGAATCAATTGACAAAGTTAGTAAAAGTCACAGCCTAATTTAAATGCTCTCTATAAAGACGTTCTCCTCTTCTTGGTCATTCGGCCCTTCTCTGGTTGTGAGATAAGATCATACACATTCTGACGGCATTCATTGTCATCATGGTTCACCAGCCACCACATCAGCTCGCGCCGAAAAGAGGACACATCAGCCTGCACAGCAAGTTTACCACCAAACAAGTCACACGTGGTCACTCTTGATTGCACAATAAATAAGGTAATGTCAATACCTCGGTATATTCAAGGGAAACATCAGGCTCCCATTTCTTGAGCCATATGAGCACATGCACACCACAGTCCCTCCTGCCCACAACACCACCCTAACAGTTTCAGCTCCTCAAACCAACACAGCCAAATAACATATCACATGAGTAGGGTGTATACACTCACAAATTTTTCTGCTGTGGTACATCAGGCCAGACAATTTCCAAGTTATCACTAAAATCTGGTCTGACCATGTGAAGTATGTCTTCAAACCGATCCCTCTGCACATATGCCATATTCATCAAAAGGATAACAATATAAAACTGTCATTTCCCTATCTAACATGCACAGGTCAGTAACATCTTACACATCCGGTGATGGCCATTTCTTGGGGGTCATATGTGGCTGCCTTCTTCTGCTTGGAGGTGGTCTTCTTACGCTGTAAACTTGCTCGCATGGAATCAAGGACATTAAACTTCTGGGTCTTTGGTTCGAATGCAAAACAGAACCAATGCTCCCCAACTAGAGCAGGACCCAGAATCAAGTCACAGTCACCTATGTTGTAGCCAACATAATGCGGAAGTATTTGTCGTGCATGCTGGTTAGGATCCCAACGAGCTGGATCACGGGTCATTATGGCCTGTGAAATGCAGAAAACCAAGTTCTTATTCACTGTAACACACTTTATTCTGTCATTTTCATTTCCAATCTTGTAAATCAACAAAGCCTATTAGTAATACAGAAACATCACCATGAAGTCTGCATCAAATATATGCCTCTTAACTCGGCCTTCAACTGCCTGCTGCTCTTGCACCAAAGCCTTACAGACCAACGACATCACTCGGTTACTCACCCTGTTATTTCCACCAAGCGAATGCAGCAATCGTCGGGGGATGTCTTCATCAAACATTCTGATCAAAGGACTGAAACATATTCAAGTGAGTTACTAGATGTGTTATGTTAACATGTAGTCAACAAATAAGATCACATAAGCAAAGATTTTCACTTACATCTCACCCTCATCACCTTTGACAGCTCGGCTGACTAAGTTGAACAAAATATCCTTGGGCTCCATAGGCCTCTTCACTCTTGATTGTGCCTTCAACTCCAACCAAGGAGACTTGATCTTGCTGAACCGAACCCTAGTAGATCTCCTTAGTTGTTGTGCCTCCACAGATACAGGTTCTGGATCAGGCCCAACATATTCAACAATGGCCAGGGGGGATACCTCCATCGGTGAGTGACCTTCTGCCTCATCACCTTCAATGGTGGGTGACACTTCCCTAGGGGGACTGGCTGCAGGTATGTCACCCTCATCACCTTCAATGGTGGGTGACACTTCCCTAGGGGGACTGGCTGCAGGTATGTCACCCTCTGCATCACCCTTGTATTCCCTCTCCCCTTCGCTCCTGTCATCACCATCCCCTTGACCCTCTTCCTCCATCTCTTCATTGTCGCTGTCATTCTCTGTGTCGCCCTTCCCATGACTGTCTCCATCTTCACTGCTTACTTCATCCTTCTCCTTTTCCTCAGTTATGTCATCATTGTTGCGCCTCTCCTCCTCATCATCTTCAGAGTCACTTCTATTTGTAGGCACTGTCTCAACCCGAGCCTTTCCTCTTGATTTACCCTTCCCACCATCTCCCTGTCTTGGGATTTGCACCTTCACCAACTCCTCATCCACCATTTTCATTAGCATCTTTTGCCCTTCCTCTATCCTCTTCATTAGGCGCTCACGTAACTTCTTCAGCTCCTGCATGTAAAAGACATTAATCAAGTAAGTATATACAACAACAAGTTCACTATGGAAAATGACACCTTCACTATGACATATTGACAAGTTCAGTAAACCAGATTACAATTCAGGTATGGCAGATCACAAGTTCATTATATAGAATTACAAGTTTAGTAAACAAAATCACAACTTAGATATGGCAGATCACAAGTTTATTGTACCGAATGACAACCTCAGTAAACCAGATTACAATTCAGGTATGGCAGATCACAAGTTCATTATACAGAATTACAAGTTCAATAAACAAAATAACAACTTAGGTATGGCAGATCACAAGTTTATTATACCGAATGACAACCTCAGTAAACCAGATTACAATTCAGGTATGGCAGATCACAAGTTCATTATACAGAATTACAAGTTCAGTAAATCATATCACAACTCACGTATGGCAAATGACAAGTTCATTATACCGAATGACAAGTTCAGTAAACCATATCACAACTCACGTATCGCAGATGACAAGTTCATTATACCGAATGACAAGTTCAATATACAAAATCACAAGTCAGTCTACCTATTGATAAGTTCAATATGGCCAATCACAGCATAAGTATTGCGAATAACAACTTAAGTTTGCCAAATTACAACTTAACAATGACAAAGCTCTATGTCACTATAGCAAATCAGAACTTCAGTATAGGAAATGACAACAATACTATGGCAGATAACAAGTTCAGGTTACGAAATAAAAACTTTAGTTTACCAATTATACCACATACCGGGTCCAAAAACTCTACAATTATCCTCTCTTCTTTCCCTGTCACAGCTTCACTGCCTTTTCCTCCATACATAATTCCCCTAACACTCTTCCTCTCCTTGCTGGCCAATTCTTTTATTTTCTCATCAGTCCAGTATTCAATTGCAGTAGTGGACTCTCGGCCAACAGGCGTGTTTAGGTTAAAATTCTCACCAAAAAAAAGCTGCAAGCCAGCCACATATATACAACATTAACGTTATGCACATCGGTAATCAAATGCAAACACAATGACAAATAAAATAGTCATACCAGAAGTAAGTATATGCAGCCACCAACAGTGCTACTCCCCTGCCCTTCATTGCCCCGCCTGTACCCTTTGACATAGTCTCCCATTTCTTTCCAGAGGTCCTTTATAATATAGGTAGCCCAATCATACTTTCCAAAGTCATCCATTGTGCAGCGCATGACTCTAACCAACTTCTCACTCACTTCTGAGCTTGAATTCGGACATAGAAAAGTACCCAGGGTGTATAGCACAAATAAAAACTCGAATCTGTGATCCTCCTCCCCTGAAACAATGTCGTTTAGTATTTTGCTGAATGACACTTTCCGATATTCATTTCTCAACTCCTGATACGTAGCATCACTCTCATCAACTTTAGTTTTCACCTCCTCCCCACCGTGACGGATTCCTAGCAGTTGCTCAACATCTTCTGCTCCTATTTCCTCTGATTTGCCCCTGATTGTAAATTGATGCGTTGGCGGGTCATATGATCTCAGCATGGTCACAATGAGATCACGGGGTAGTCTCTTTAATCCAACCTTCAACAGCCTCCCGAAGCCCATCCTCTCAACCCTCTCCCTTAAGTCTTCATTATTGTTCACAAAGTGCAGTAATTTTCTTAATCCCTTCAGGGACACCCGGGTTAGAAATGATGGGACATGTTTCTTTTTCTCCTCTTCTCCCTTTTGTGCCCTTCTTTTCTTCACCTCCTCGGTGTACCTCATCTTCTCTTCAGCGGCCAGAGCTTTCCATGCATTTGACGCAGCATCTCTTTTTTGTTTGGCTGTCATGTCAGGGTCAGCTATTGTGGCCATAAACTCACTTCTGAATAACACCCAACCGTTGTGTGCCTTTTTTGATCCAGAGGCTCCTTCTGATGCCATCTTCCTCTTCCTGCAAAATATTCAACATACAATCCTTCACAACCACATTTACTAACTAACTATCACCTCTGTTAACAACCTATTCTGTAACCAACAGCCTTCTTACATCACCACCATTTACTTCTTATTTCGAAACATGAACTTGTAATTTCATATAAGCAAGTTGTTAATTTCTCAAAGTAAACTTGTTAGTCTCAACTACTTCTCATGCTTGTTATTTCTCATCATTAACTTGTCATTTATAATTATCAACTAGTTATTTTACATTATAAAGTTCTCCATTTGTCATAATCGCCTTTCTTATTCCCAACTTCTTATTGTCATTTTTAAACTTGTCATTTCCTATTGTTAACTTGTTAGGAACCCATGGCAACCTTCTTATTCCCAACTGCTCAATAACTTGTTATTCATTATATTCAACTTGTTATTTTCTATTACCAACTTGTCAATTACACATTCTTATTTTGCATTATCAACTTGTCAATCCCCCTACTTCAATTTTGTCATTTTAAACGACACTATCACTTCAACATCTCTTCAGATCAATTAATAGTTAACCAATTCAATTTGCCCTTTACCCATTCAAGTGTCGTCATTTCCCAAACTAATCTTGTCATCCTCCTAACTGATCTTCTAATTCCCTTCCCACCCAAACCCATTCGCCCATCTTCTTCCACAGATAACCATTTTTCGCCAATCAGTCACAGCATATTCAACAGAAAAAACATATATATACGTTCCTGCCCTAAACGCATTCCCTTCCCTCTCGTTAATGTATCACACAGGCAGCAACGAACACAAACAAACTAAAGCTTGAAACTTACCACCAGATTTTGTCGCCAAATGCCGCTGTTAACTTTGATAGCCACACACGACTGTCACGATGCCTCTACCTCCTCCCTTGCCTTTGATGATGTCGATAGATCACTATTCCAGCACGACTCCGTTCTCCTCTCCCACAGCAAATACACTCTTCTCTCACACAATACTCCTATCGCCGCAAAATGGAAACAAACTCTTGCGCACAAATAAACAGAGCACACCGCAAAGAATGGCCGACGGGATATACAAAGGAAGTTACCGCGCGTTTTGGGGGGGAGGAGAGCGCGGACAGGTTTTTTTCTTTTCAAATGAGTGAGGGGCATTTCAGCCATTTTCCTTACATTTCATAATTGCAAATTGGGACCGGGTCCTCTGCAGCAATTTCTCAAATTGGGGGTCCCTGATTGCCATTTTATATATTGGGGGGTCTTTATTTGCAATTTCCCCTATTTAAAAGGTACAGGGACATAAATGAAAAGAAAAAAAAAATCCCAACAAATGGATCCTACTGTTTGTTTGTTTGTTTTTGTTTTTTTCTCTGAGCCATTGTTTATTTACTTTTCTGCAATTGTTCACGGCGCTTAGAGTTCCTCCGCTCATCTTGACCGTTACATGATCTGACCCTTTGACAATTCTGTCTCCCTCTCTTATAAATATACTTCCACAAAACAGACCACTGCTCCTCGGCATCCATATCTCATTTCCTTTCACCTTCCACGCATCCTACACAGTGCCGGCCCAGCCGTCGGAAACACCGTACTTGCAAAACTCCGGTCATGGGTCTCCTTTTCACTTTTTGTAGTAGTAACAAAAATCAATACCAGTTCTGAGTTCAGAAATCAAATGTCCAACATTCCTTCTTCTCTCTCTGAGATTTGCCTAACCCAGTTTCGTCTTATCATGTCCATTGCAGATCCATGGCCTTTCTCATAAGCTCTCAAGAATCTTATCAAAATCCTCTCTCTCTCCATTCATTTTCTATTAAACCAAAGCTATCTACTGCACTGTTTCTTGATTTTATCTTGTAAGACTCACAAATCAGACGAGGCTGTTCAGAAATATGAGGAAAATTAGGGGATTTAAGCTTGGACGACGCCTTATCCGAATCTCCAGATGGATCTTCCGGAGAGCTCGACCCGGAGGATATCGGAGGTTGGGTTCCCATGATTCGCCGGCGACGAAGACCGTAGCAAGCATTCTCAAATGGGGACGCAAGCTTACCAGAGGAGCCAGATCCCTCTGCTGCGCGAAGCCCAGGTTGGGATATATTCCGGTGGGATCCGACCCGGTACAGGACAAGCCTCCTGCAGTACCGAAGGGTTACTTGGCGGTGTACGTTGGGCAGAAGGACGGCGAGTTTCACCGGGTGCTGCTGCCGGTGATCTACTTCAACCACCCTTTGTTTGGAGAGTTGCTTAGGGAGGCGGAGGAGGAGTTCGGGTACAACCATCCCGGGGGGATAACGATTCCGTGTCCGTTCACCGAGTTTGAACGGGTGAAGACCCGAATAGCATCCGGGTCAGCCAGGACTGGCCGGAGATTGGCGTGGAGTGGGCTCCATTGAAGGATCAAGCGGACATACACGAAGGCACGCGTCTTTAATTTTTCTGCCACCAGAATAGACCGTGGGAGGGATATCGAGGTTAACATTAAATTAAACTATTAATTTTAATTTTAATGTTAATGACTCTCAATCTTTTTCTCTTCCATTGCTTCAACAGAAGATTCATTTTTCACTTCAAACGTCGATGTGTCACATATTATATACTTGTAGAGTAAATAAATCGATAATAGCTATAAGCAATTATTTTGCTGGATTTATGATTTATATGTATCGTTGTTTGGGTTTGATAAATTAACATCTAATCACGATTTGATATGTATTTAAGAAAGATTTTATGTTGTTGGCAACCGAAAAAAAAATGATTTTATGTTATTTGATGGTGGAATTTTGAATCGTAGATAGAGTAATCCTGATTTGTGCCCTGCGACGACCACCTATGCGTCCCAGTTCTCACGTCTATTTGGCACGAAGTATAATTATAATAATAAAAAAAAATGTATGCTCTCAGGAATATAAGTACAAAACAAAGTCACTTTTTACTAGTCATAATAAAATTGATTAATTTTCATAATTATTCTATTCTCCAAATTTATATATTTTTGTACCAAACATGTCTTTAGATTGTAAATTTAAGAGCCTTTTTCCCCATGCATTAACCTTCCCGCACCTCACCATCCTATCATCTGGCTTTTTTTTTTTTTTCCACACTAAAGTATACATTTGTAAGTTTTATTGTTCCAATGATTAGGGGGAAAAAAAGTAATCTATTCTATTAGTATGCAGATAGAAAATTTATTTGATGGACGACTTATTTAAAAAATTATTTTTCATGTCTTTTTGTATCATGACGAGCCTGCTTACCAGCTATCATGACGAGCCTGCTATGGCCAATGGCCTAGTTAAATACCCTCAGATTATGATATGAACCTAACTAGAAAAATTTGTGAAGGTACAGAGTATAAATGAGACGAACTAGAAAACTGATTTGCAGATACGTGGATACTGAAATGAAATTCCGTCTCACCCAGGAAGTTAAACCTTCTGCAATAAATAATTTATTGTATCCAATACTGTGAGCAATAAATAATATAGAACATGTCAAGATAAATAAAATAGACTAGTTGAAAGGACATAATTAAGTTTTGGCTCATCATCCGCCATTAAAAATTTCACTTCCTCCTCGCCCCCAGCATACTTCATTCGTTCACGGTTCCCACTCAAAAAAATTCTGGTTATCCTCATTTATGTTTAAAAATCTAAAAAGCACACAGATATTAAAAAAATATAATTTTTTTATTATATTGGTGATCGTAAAAAACAGAATTTAAAATTATATTTTTCATAATATATTAATATATATTTATATCAGGCATAGATTTTAGACTCCACTCATCAATTTTTCTGTGGCTCATAATATGTGAAAAAATATGAGTTATTATTAATTATTACTAATACTGATGCTAATTTGGATATAGACTGTGGCTGTTATAATTTTGACGGCGTTGATCGCCAGAGAGAGGCGGCACTGTTGAACGGGACATTCTTGAATGTGTGACGATGAAGACGATAACGTTTAAGTGATTGACAGTTAAAGGAAAGGGACAGCCAAAATGCGTTTCACAATTTCTCGCTCGTTTGGCCTTTTCAGTTTCTCTTATTATTATTTATTGGTTGGCCCTGAATTGTTGAGGCTAATAATAAATACGTGGTGTAAAGCTGTTTATAACGTAAATACAAACAGATATTTTTTCTCTCTCTCATTTTTTGTTCCTTAGCAATATTTAATTTTTTTTGACCAGTTAGCAATAATTTAATTTAATCTCTAATTATGTCAATGATAATGATATTATTATCGCTTTCATATTGATAGTAATAATCATGATATTTTGTTTAGTTTAATTTGACTTTTCATTTTCGCTCTTCTTGTTTATTATGATAATATTTGTGTGTCGGGATAATACGTGGGTGTCGTCAGTTCAAAGGAAAAGGCTCAGCTAAACAATTGTATGAATGGCCCTTCTTTTGTTTGTTTGGTTTTTCCACCCCCCCTTCCCCCTAACAACTATGAATGGCCCTTCAGAGACATCTAATTAATCAGATAGAAATGCATGAATAAAACATATTATTTATTCGGAAAAAAATAAAACATAGTTGTATTATTTAAGCTGCATCAATAGACATAATATTTAAAAAATTCACATTATAATAAATATATTTTTTGAAATTATAACAAAGGAACTAAAATTCGGAGCAAGGTAAGTACAAGTTTTGGTAAATATTTGTATATTTTAAAAATAAAAATTTTATCTATATTTTTGTCTGAAAAATTAGATAATTTACTCCAATAACTTCGAAGTCCACATAACAACACCATAATTAGGTCAACCAACATGAAAATACTACTTTGTAGAAATCGCAATAGTATTCACGAATCATAAACATGTATAATATTTATATATTTTTATAATGTTTATATTAACATAAAATATAAAATTTATAGAGATCACAAATACTTAGCATTCACAAATCGTAAACAGTAATTGAAACGCTTCTTACAAATAAGTTTGAAATATTAAATTGGTAGGATTTTCTTTAAAAAAAATTAAATTAACAATATTTTATGATTATATCTTTTTAAGTTTTATGATGCACGCCAAAGATTTCTAGTTCTCTGTAATAAAAGTAGTTTTTTTTTAATCATGCATAATAGAAGTAGTTTAAAATTTTAAATATAGATAAAAGGTAGAAACAAATAAGTCCTTGAAAAAATTGAAGGATACATATTACAATAAAAAATAAAAAAATTAATACACTTAATTTAAAGTATATGTAATGAAAAGTCACAAATGACACGTCACTACTAAAGTACTTGACATTGTCTTGAAGAATTTTGATACATTTAATTTAAATTATATGTTGATGAATCGAATACACCCCATGCGGATGTCAATATCTAGTGGAACCAATTAAAAGGATTGCTTTCTTATCTCTGAGTCACAAAGCAAAGGCAGTCACCAAAAGAAGCATAAAGGTTCTAATTTAGGTAGGGTTCATTGTCTTGAAGAATTTTGGCAATAAAATTGAATAAACAATTTTCTCTGTTTTTCCTTTCCATGCAGCGTTGTAATAATTAATTGTGAAGAAGTTCAAAAGAAATTCACATACCTGCCTTCCCACTTTCCTCACCAAAAGAAAACTGTCCTTATCGTTGAATAAGATATTATCTAGGGTGAGAATCATATAATTCTCGAGCATACTTGCTTAACTTTCTAAGAATTCTCTTCTTTGGGAAGGGAATATTATGAGCTTGTCATTGGATTCCTTTTTGTTTTATTTATAAAAAAAAAGGGAAATGTAATTGTCTTTCTAGTTTATATTTCATAATTTCACCCATTCACTTTTTTCCTATTTTTCTTTAAATGCACCTTTTACATATACAAAGAAAATATAAATGATTTCATTATAAATATGAGGAAATGAAATTGTTGAAACTTATAAATATGAACCACACTAGTTGCCTCGTGTTTCACATGAATTTATCTAGTTTTGTTGAAGGAGAAAGAGGTCGGTCACGGTGAGTATTTTATTTTGCAATACTCATTTTGTTCAAATTTACTGAGCAAAAGTTAGAAGTATGAAATATATTTTAGAATTGATAGAAATTAGTCTACACCCGTGCGATGCACGGTTTGTTTAAAACGTAGTGTAAAGTAATAAAGTAATTTGATTAAATGGGATATGAAAATATTGTGAAATACTACGTCTGGTCTTTAATATAAGAGTCACTTGACTAATTTAAGTAGATTAAAAAAATTAGTTAAGTTAGCTATTTGTAATAAATATGTGTTGTCTTTCCTAAAGTATCATTGCTAATCAAGTATATTGGATAGAACTATCATTACTATAAGGACTATCCTGAAAAACGTGAATAAATATAAGAAACAAAGTAGATTGGGTCTTATATTTAGGATCAAAGTAAAAATTTAATGAGCTTTTATATTAAGAATCGGAGTTAGTATAACTAATTGCATTGAATACATATGTAATTAAGGCAAGTAAGTATTTCAACTACATCTATTTATAAAGATAAAAAACTAGGATCCAGTAAAAATAGAGCAATCCTGATAAGCTATTTTGAAAGAGTTAGGATGGAGTTGAATTGATAACCTTCTTGATACTTTTTATTTTAGGGTGGATTTGCCCACATTTTTACACTCTTTCTTGAGTTATTTCTAATGTTTTTGAAGTGTTTTCACACACTTCTTGTCCATCTTTGAGCCAATTCTTGTCATCATCCTTTTGCATTTAATTTATGCTTTTTCAAGTGTTTTTAATGACTCTTAGTTGATTTTCATTTACCTTGGATCATGAAGAACTAGATATTATAACAAGTTATGTTGATGTTGCAGGTAAATGAAAGGATCTGAAGAATCAAAGGAGTCAAAAACCTTGAAAAGCACCATGGAGAGCTTAAAGTGAAGAAGGATACAGAAATCCAAGCCAAGAGAAAAACCTGAAAGAATTACCCTCGCTCGACATCATTGCTATGGCACAACATATGGCTTTGCCACTGTGAAGCTGTTGAGTTCCTAATAACCCCTTTTGGTACCACTTTACCGTGACGAAGCTCTTCAAACAGCAAAACGCAGAATTTCAGTTAGTTGACATTGGGGGCTTCCAAATTAGATTAAAGGCTTAAAACTTGATGCAACTAGCCGTCAGACATTATCCATAATTGGTCTCCCTCATTTCCTCTCAACTCTCCATCACTTTCACCCATAAATTCTTCATTTTTACCTCATCTCACCACCAATCTCTCAATTTTATACTGATTGTTCTTCACTATTCCATCTCTACACCACCTTTCCATAGCCATTTCATCATCCATGGTTGTCAAGAGTGCTTAAATCGATTAGAGCAAGATTGGAGCTATGAGTGGCTAAAGTTGGTGACCTTTAGTGATGGGGATGCAAACTTGAGCTCCTGGACTATACTGGGGGGTTTTTTATTTCAATCTTTGTGGTTATATGTATTTAGACTTCTAGATTTAGGGTTGAATGCTATATTTACTGCATTAGATAAATGATCAATTTTTCCTTATGATTAATTTATTTGTATCTGAACCGAATGATGTAATGTGTTTCTAATTTATATATGGTTTTATCTTTCTTACCTTCACTTTTGATTGATTTGCAATGATTATTGTTAGTTGATTAATTGCCATTGACTCTTGTGTGCTGATCAGTAACCAAGAGAGAGCATTGCATCATTGCCTTCATTTACACACCAAGTGGTTTTCACGACAGTGTTTTGAAAAGGTGTTGATTC